TGCACCACCACGCCTGGCTAATTTTTTTGTATTTTTAGTAGAGACGGGGTTTCACCATGTTAGCCAGCCTGGTCTCGAACTCCTTACCTTAGGCAATCCGCCCTCCTTGGCCTCCCAAAGTGCTGGGATTACAGGCGTGAGCCACCGCGCCCAGCCTGTAATGTATGTTTTTCCTGCTAATTTTGAGTGTCTCAGCCTCTTGCTCCTTGACTTTTGTTCTCTCAGGGGCCGGGGAGCCCAGCTCGGTCTTAGCCTCGCTGGTGTCAGGTCCCGGGTTCTGTCTGGTGGCTCTGCTTCCTATGCGGAGCTGACAGTTTAGTATCAGCACGTTTGCCAGCAGTGCCCACTAGGCGTTTGCTCAGTTGCTGCTCCCAACGTGACGTTTCCTGCTCGCAGGGTCCTTATGTTTTCAGTGCTGTCACTTTCTCGGTCCTAGAACCGCTAGTATCTCCTAGGAACTTCCTGAACTCCGTTTTGCGGTGAAGAACAGTGATTGCACCGAGCTGCTGTATGCACTAGTAATTCCGTGGTACCGTTAGCTGGCGCTTTTTCTGTCGCAACACATTAAAACGGGTTAAAAGACCTTAAACTGATTAAACACATTAAACGGATTAAAACACATTAAAATGCTACAACACATTTTTCTGTCACAACATATTTAAACAGAGTGGGTTAATTCCTCCAAACACCGCTCCTTTCTTAGAGCACGCTGTTTCTCTCTAGCAGCACCACTTTTGGGGCCTGAACAGATGTTTGGCAATACAGGCGCTATCCGCTAGGTGCAGGCGCTTGCTAAGTTCAACGCGCCAGTTTCTCGTTAGCAAGGTCGTTGGCAGGGCAGAGCCCTAGCGGACAGTTTTCCGGGGCTTATTTCCGGAAAGAGATAGTTCTTGGCCCTTGAAGGCTCTTTTATACCTGCGTTCCGCAGTGATAGTTCTCTGCAAGGTTTGCTTAGTGTTCGTTTCATTTCGGTTTCTTTTCTCGCTGTTTTTCTGTCGGAATTACGGTTTGTTTTGGTTCTATGTACTCTCTAAAATTTTTATTGTTTTTCATATGTCTACTAATTTTCGTGCATTTGTTACTATTGAGTTTCTTAATATCTGGCTGGCCTCCGCCCACGGGCTCTGGAGAGCATAAATACCCAGGCTGAGGGTAGTGCAGAAGGCTCTCCCTCCTTGATCAGCGCAACCGTTTGTTTCCTCCTGGTCTGAGGCTTAAGCGATGGAGCAACATTTTCTTGGCTTTGTGAAGCCTGTTTCGGATTCCGCAGAGGTGGAGCCAGAGCCCCAGCTTCCGCCTATTGTGAGTTTAGAAGATTGTGGGCCGTGGTCTCTTCCTTTGTATCCAGTACTACGAGAGTACTCATTGGACAGCTGTGATTTGAGACTGCTTTCCAGTCCTTGCTGGCGGCTACCGGGAGTCTACTGGCAAAACGGACTCTTTCCTGGAGTCCAGGGCACCTTAGAACCAAGTACAGCCCAGCCCGCTGAGTTCAGTTGGCCCGGGACACAGAAGCAGCAAGAGGCACCTGTAGAAGAGGTGGAACAGGCAGAGGAACCCGAGAGACTCATGCTCCAGCAGCTTCCCTTGTGCAGTCCTCCCCACCCCTGGGGCAGACAGCAGGACTCCGAGGTCTCTGACAGCTGGCACCTTTTGGAATGCCACCATCCTCCTGTCCTGAATTGGTGGCGCCACCTCCCGAGTTTCTCAGGCTGCCTGGAGTGGATTTGTCGCCTTGGTTGTGCCGGGTTCTCTGTACTCTGGGCGTGCTGCCCACAGATCTGTGGAGCTAAGCAGCCTTAGATAGCAGCAGAAGACTTTTGGGATTCTCCTCCATAAAAAGATTCTCCGTTACCAAACGTCTCCACCTAGAAAATAAAAATGCATTAAGATGTGCCTTCATTGCTGGTTGTCAATTTTTAAAATATCTTTTGCTGATGAATCTCCCTTGTTTCAGGTCGCTTATTACTTGCAGTTTCCATATATTTTAAACATTTGTATTTATTTTATTATATATTTCATTTTTATCTGTTTCAACTTTGAGAAATCTATTTTATGATTGTAGAATTCTTAGAGTTTTGGCAAATTTAAAATTTGTTTTTTCCATTTTATTTTCAAATCTTACTCCTACTTTTTTCTAATTACTGCTTTCTAAATGTATTTTTTTATTTAATTGTATTTCACATATTTTGCGTTATGTCTTTTTAATTTCAATTGTTAATTTTATTTTTGTTTTAACAGCTGTCTTTTTTTCAGTATAGCAATTCATTGTGTTTTACACTCAGGAATTTTATTGGCGGTCATAAGACTGAGGGGTTTATCAATCTTTGCTATTTCTCATGGTAAGGAAGGAGACCACCCCTTATATTGTCTTATGCCTAATTTCTGCCTCCAAAGAAAGAAGAAATAAAAACTAAAATGGCAGAAATGAAATCCACAGGCAGACAGCTTGGACTGGCGCCCTGGGCCTGGTAAATATCGACCCCTGACCTAACTGGTTATGTTATCCATAGATTCCAGACATTGTATAGAAGGACATTGTGAAACTTCCCGCTCTGTTCTGTTTCACTCTGACTACCAGTGCATTCAACCCCTGTCACATACCCCCTAGCTTGCTCAATCAGTCACGACCCTTTCATGTGAAGCCTTTAGCGTCGTGAGCCCTTAAAAGGGACAGAAATTGTGCACTCGGGGAGCTCGGCTCTTGAGAGAGGAGTCTTGCCAATGCTCCCAACTAAATAAACCCCTTCCTTCTTTAACTCAGTGTCTGAGGAGTTTTGTCTGCGGCCTGTCCTGCTACAGTGGAAGGATCACACAATTATTTATATTAATACAACTGCACAGATAACCAGTTCTTAATATTACTTATCAAACGAGGCAGCGTGGCTCACGCCTGTAATCCCAGCACTTCTGACAGCAGAGGCACAGGGATTGCTTGAGCTCGGGAGTTTGAGACTAGGCTGGGCAACAGGGTGAGACCTGTCTCTACAAAAAATACAAAAATTATCCATGTGTGGTGTTACGCACCTGTAGTCCCAGCTACTTGGGAGGTTGAGGTGGGAGGGTCCCTTGAGCTCAGAAGATAGAGGCTGCACCGAGCCAGATGGCACCAATGCACTCCAATGGAGCAAGACCCTGTCTCAAATAAGTAATTTAAAAGATTACTTATTCATGGGTCTCAGGGCTAGCAGTGTTTCCTGTGTCTTTTTCTTTGGAATAATAATTTAGTGTGGTTTATAAGAGAACTACCAATTACTTAATCGTACCACAACTTTGTTTAGTAATTCTGGTAGACAGAGCAGGTCCGGGTTGGCCTTGCTAATTTGTCTGTCTTTTCAGTTTTAAACCTCCTACATGTCAGAATATAGCCCTGATTGTGGTTTCTCTGCATAGGGAATCCAGATTTAAGCAGAACAAGTATCAGTTTATTTCGCCTGTGATAAAGAGCCTTAAGCCTGTGTTCAAAATACCTTATTCTGAGCGAGTCCTGGATTAGGGATTTCTTAGACTAACAAGTCCATGCTTCCATTCAAAGTCCCCCCGTGAATGTGATTTCTTAGGCTCTTATAAGTCCAGATTGAGTCGAAACCAGTACTAGCGTGGCCATGCCTGCGACTTCTTAGTCCCAGTAACTTTTGGTTTCATAATAACTTACCCTGCTTTAGTTATGCCTGAGTTTTAAATATAGAAGTCCGGGCATGTCGGTGGAGATCTTTTAGGAGTAGCAAGTAGCAGTTTAGCAGTGCCTGCAGTCCCTTAGTTAGAAGTCCTGGTGAGACCAAGCAGATATTGATATAGGCGTGACAGCGATATCACAGCTGTGAAACCACATTGTTTAGAAGTGTTTGCATTTTCTTTGTAGAGTCAGTTTTCTATGTTTTGCTTGGTTTTGAATTTTCATTTTATGATTTTTTTCCAAATGTATTGTTTTTATTTTATTTTCAGCTAACTTGCCCTTTTGAAAAACAACGGTTACTAAATTTTCTTTTGTCAACCCTTGGCTTTATGCTGTCTGGTTTGCAATGGCCTATGATCCCTGGAACTAAACACTCTAGTCTTTTCGCCTTACTGGCCTTTCGTGGATGGCATTACCACGCTAGATGCTCCTTGTTTGTTGCACTGCCGGTTGCTTCTGTGAGGCTTGCTAGAGCCCAGGATGTTGAGGTGCTGGGTGACCCCGTTTCCTCAGTTGTGTCTTTGATAGGTTCAACCACTCCGCGGGTTCTTGGTTTATTCGACTGTGTTTTGGAACAAATGCTGATTCTTCCTGGGAGCTGAGTGTCTCTCAGTCACGTTCTTGGCTGTTTTCTTCAAAAGCGGTCATTTCTCCTGGTAGCACCGCTTGTTGGCGACATCAGATGCTTTCCCCCATGGCAGTACTGGTTGTTGCATGGAGTGGCCGGTTTCTCACTCGCACTGTGGCAGCTGGCAGTTATTCTGTGGGGGCGCAGCTCTCAGCAGCTTTCCTTGGTCCTTCGTGTCAGCTGTCCCTGTACTGGTATTTGTGGCGGTATTTCCGTCTGTGTTTTTTAGATAACAATGCCGTTCCTGTCTCTAAAACCAGCTATGTCTGAAACCGGCAATTTCTCTCGGGCACAGAGTCCTCGGTTTCGCAGAGCCTGTTGGTGATTCCGGAACTGCTGTTTGCTCCGTTCCAGCGACATTGCACCCAGTACTGTTAGGTGCTCCCTGTTGGAGTTTTGAGACAGCGTTTTGAGATAGTTGCACCAGTGCTCCAGACCTGACACCTGAAGAAAGCATTATCATTTCAAGCTCAGTAGGGGCAATAGAATGAGTGGTGTTAGAGAAAGCAAGCAAATGCTTGAAGAAAGGGCCACTCCACAGTATTTTTGGCTTTCTCCCCACCTTTTATTTTATTTTTTTTTTGAGACAGGGTCTGGCTTTATCACCCAGGCTGGAGTGCAGTGGCACAAGCATAGCTCACTGCAGCCTCAACCACCTGGGCTCATGGAATCCTCCCTCTCTGTCTTTCAAGTAGCTTGGACTGCAAGTCCAAGTGACACCATGCCTGGCTGGCTGATTTTTCAATTTTTTGTGGAGATGAGTTCTCACTGTATTACCTAAGCTGGTTTTGAACTCCTGGCCTCAAGTGATCCTTCTGCCTCAGCCTCCCAAAGTGCTTTTGTTGCAGGTGTGGGCCACTGCAGCTGGCCTATTTTTGACTTCAGACAAAACAATTCAATACCAGGTCCAGGTGAAACAAAGCAAGACAATAAATTACTAATCCGCATCTCTGAATAGCTGGTGTCAGTTCCGGTGCCTCAACTCAATGGGAAGCCTGCAGGCAAAATGAGTTCTCCAGTACAGTCCATACAGGTTACTTCTTGCAACATAGTGCTGACTGAAGAGTGGTATGCGGATCTAAAGAGGCAAACTGATACTAGCTAGCAGTGTCTTCATGTTGATCAACCTAGTCAGAATGGTAACTTAGTTTTTTGGGTTTGTTTGTTTGAGACAGTCTTGCACTGTCACACAGGCTAGAGTGAAGCAGCATGATTTTGGCTAGTTGCAGACTCCACCTCCTGGGTTCAAGTAATTCTCCTGACTCAGCTTCCCCAGTAGCTGGGATCACAGGCATGCGCCACCACACCTAGCTAATTTTCCTGTGTTTAGGAGAGACCAGCCTGTGTTGACCAGGCTGGTCTCCAACTCCTGGCCTCAAGTAATCTGCCCACCTTGGCCTCCCAACGTGCTGAGATTTCAGGTGAGAGCCACCCCACCTGGCCTACAAGAGTAACTTTTTTTTTTTTTTTTTTTTTTGAGATGGAGTCTTGCTTTGCACCCAGGCTGGAGTGCAGTGGCACAGTCTTGGTTCACTGCAAGCTCTGTCTCCTGGGTTCGCGACATTTTCCTGCCTCAGCCTCTCGAGTAGCTGGGACTAAAGGCGCCCACCACCACGCCCGGCTAATTTTTTGTATTTTTTAGTAGAGACGGGGTTTCACCGTGTTAGCCAGGATGGTCTCGATCTCCTGATCTTGTGATCTGCCCGCCTCGGCCACCCAAAGTGCTGGGATTACAGGCGTGAGCCACCGCACCCCAGCTGTAATTTTTTTAAACAAATGATTTAGCACTGCCAGGAATCATTTTAGTCATACCAAGTATGATTTCGCAATAGAGAGTCTCGCTCTGGCTATGCTTGTAGCGTAGCCTCATGTAGAAGTTGGGGTGTCTAGGCTACAGGACATTTTTGGTGTTGCAAATATCTGTTTATCCATGGCTATTTCTTCTTAATCCGAGGAAATTTCGGATAGGCGCAAGAGGCACGGGTTTAGTGCTAATGCAAATACAGTGGTAGGATAGATCGCTGCGTTCAACACTGTTTGCAATTTCTTTGTAGGGTTCTTTGTATGTTTTGTATACCCAAAAAAAATTTTTTTGATGTTGTTCTGGGAGGGAGGTTACTGGTGTATTTTATTTTCATTTGTTTGCTTTAAATATTTCGTTACTTATTTTTTATTTAAATGTTATGCATTTTAGCTTTTCTTACCCACTGCCTTCCCCAGGATAGTAAGTGTGGCATATTTCTTCTACTGAGTTTGAGTACCACGTCTCAGCTTTATGCTAACTTGCCTTCTCCCGCCCGCCGTGGAGCCGAGCTGGTGCTTGGTCTCTAGGGTTCTTTTCCGCAGTTCTGCTCCTAGGCCGAGCCAGCGGTTTGGCATCAGCGCTTTCGCCAATAGTGGAGCCTCGTTGTTTTGGCGGTTGCTGCCCTGTTGTTAACGCTGAGCAAAACAACGTTTCAGCCGGACACGGTGGCTCACGCCTGTAATCCTAGCACTTTGGGAGGCAAAGGCGGGTGGATCATTTGAGGTCAGGAGATGGAGACCAGCCTGGCCACCTGGTGAAACCGGTCTCTACTAAAACTACGAAAATTAGCCCTGTGTCGTGGCGCATGCCTGTAATCCCAGCTACTGGGGGTGGGGGCTGAGGCAGGAGAAGCACTTGAACCCGGGAGGCGGAGGTTGCAACAAGCCGATATTGCGCCACTGAACTCCCGCCTGGGCAACAGAGCAAGACTCCTTCTAAAAAACAAACAAACAAAAAACCAGAACGTTTATCGTTCTCAAGACTCAGAAGTTCTTTGTGGTATCTCTTCCTCTGTCGTAGCACCGCCACTTTCACCGCCCTGGGTGTCTCGCTGTCTCAGCACGGTG